GCCCCGAACCTAACCAGCACTTTCATCAGAATTTCACCAGGAGGCAATTTTTGTGCCTTAAGAAGCTGTACTAGAAGCATCTAAACTTTTATAAGTTTTGTCCACATTTTTGAAAGCACAAATCGTTGAATGACTTGAAGTTGATTTTTTTTTTCTTTTAATCAGCTGAAATTCTGGCAGTTGTTATGGCTAATAAATCTTGTTCTGCATAGCAATGTTCTAAATTAATAAAACACTAGCTCTTTAATTGGAAAAATATTGATTTTTCTATATCTGACGTCTAATCTTAAATTTGGAATCACCTGTATTTTTTAAAAAAGCTGTTTCTTTTCTGACCAAATACGTTCAAACAAATTCATGATATTGCTGCAGATATTCAGAAAAAAGATTCCTCGAGAGAGTCATAGCTTCTCGCTATAACCAGAGTTGAATTGAGCAGCTCTTTTATTCGCAACTTCTGACTCCTGTCAGTAGGAGCAGGAAGGAACTTGAAAACATCAACTTCCCACCTTGCTGCATGTGCAGGATGTACTGCAGGAGAGCCACGAAAGAGCTCAGTCAGTCAGTTCTTGCACTTGATTCATGTCATCAATTCAAAGCTCACAGAAATACATTAGTCTTGTCTCAAGTCAGTTGATAGCAACCCCGACCGTTTAGACAAACTTAAATTTGCTGCAAAGTTATAGTAGCATAAAATATGCTCTCTCACTTGAAAAGTATACTTGGTGAAAGCTGTGATCTCCATTAGTTGTAAGGCCCCCTCTGTGCTTACCAAAGATGTCTTCACCACTTATTTTGGGAGCTTTATAAAGTTAAAATATGACTTGTTTGAACTCGGGGCCATAGTTTTAGTGAATGTGACATACATTGGTAATTCTGCATGTGAATTTAATATTGTCCTGAATCCTTGTTTTTCCTCTTAGACACCTTTGCTAAGAACAAAGCTTTTTAATAGTTGCATTGAAGCTAAATTAGCAGTTAAAGATGATTAAATTGCTGATTGTCTAAAGCAGTACCTTGAATGGTGAGTCTTTGGTTGTCTCTGATTCCAGTGCTTTGAGTTTTGTATTTTTGTATTTCTTTATATTTTTGGGCAATATATTTTTGGACATGTGAGGAGTTGCTGAATCCAGCAATGTGATAAAGATGAGGCTGCCATATCTGTGTGTTCCCCAGCCCAGAGAGTGTGTTCCAGTAGTCACACTTGCCAGTACATGCACACATATATATGGATATAGCTGACCACATAGAACAGCCCAGAAAACATGGGGATTGTGCAGCTGCAAATACCGCAAGGAACCTGCTGCTGCTCCTCCACCTGGCTGATCAGGATAAAAGCCTCTTAGTAAAAGTGTATACAGTGTAGTCCCTTAGTAAGTGGCTTTCCATCAGTCTGTCCAGTATGTAGCTTCTAGCTCCACTGGTCTCCCAGGTTGCTGGGCCCTGTGTGTAGAAACCTGCCAGACTTGAGGCCCAGCCCCCCTTGTAGGTATTTGTGCCTGCTTGGACGTACAGACCTGTTGTGGATCTCCTATAGCTGCCACTAGACACTCTGCAGTCACTGACCATGGGGTAGCTTGGTCGCCCAGATGCTTCTTGTACGCGCAGATAGGTCTGTGTGATAGCTTGTCCAGACCTAAAGTGTTTAGTCAGCTCTCAAATACCAATCTGTCCCCTGTAGCTGGTTTGTAGCCCCTGATCTTTCTGATAGCCAACTCAGCCCCTCAGTCAGTCTGGTAGTTGGTTTGGACCTCCTGAATCTTCCCAGGACTTCTGATCTCTGCAAAGCCTGGTCTAGACTTATGGCATCTCTAATACCTGCTTCCAAAGAGTCCTCTTGTTCTACTTGCTGACTAATCTGGTTTGATATTTGCTAGTGATCGCTCATAGCAACCTATAGATCCATGTGCATTGTGAGCATACCCAGGTCTCTCCAGTTGCTGCCCCCACAGGCTTGTGGGCCCATATCATGCATGGCCCCTTTTCCAGATGGTGGCACTTGCACCCCCCTACACAGCCATGCATGCAGAGCACTCTTTCACTCGGGGAAATAAAAATTGAGTTTAATAAGGAGACTGTGCTGAGGAGGTTATCAACCAACTACCTGTCACATGTGACCACTTCTTTTTATCTCCCTCTTCCTCTATTTTCCTATGCTTGTTTCTCCGTAGAGGAGGCTTGTTTCTCCCTAGAGGAGGCCTTTCCTCCTTGGCCCTTCCCCTAGGCATCCTTACTGTCGTCCTTCCCCAAACCCCATACTTTAGGTTTCCCATGGTCTTAAAATACTCTTCCCCTGAGACCCATAATGAGCCCTGTGCACCCTGTCAGCGTCTCCTGTTGACTCACCTGGGCGGATTGCTCTGCTGTGGGAGGGCTCTGAGGAACCTGGTCATCGGGTGCTACAGGCCCTGATGAGGGTGCTGGACACCTTCCACCTGCCACCCTTGCTTTCTCTTCCTTTTGTGTTTATGGAGATCGGCCTTAATCACATAACCTAATATTAAGGAACAGAATATACGCCCAAGTGCTGTAGGTGACAATTCCTGCCTGACCAGTACACTTTTCAATAACTGCTCTACCTGTTTTAATGAAGAAGAAATGCATCACCTGGGCTTTGCAAATCATTTGTGACATTGTCTTCCAGGATTTTCATAGATTTGTTCTACTAGCTTTGGAGTAAAAAATAATCTCAGTGAACAACTTTTAAAATTATATTATTGTGAATAGCAGTAAGAAAATGCTGTCTGATTTCAGTCTCCTATTCCTTTCTATCTGAAAGCCTTATGGAAAGTTGTAGCAAACACTCGATCGACAGAGACTTTGATTTGCAGGAACAAGTCTTAGTCCAGCATTAGGTTAATTACCTGCCAGTATTATACAGGTGTATCTTAACACAGTAACAGTTTTTGTTTGAAACAAAGGAAATATATGAACCAAATCCAAGGCTGACAACCCTGCCATATAGCTAAATGAGGTATGGGGAAGTGGAAAAGCCGAGAAATGGCTTATTTCAGCATTAATTTGAACTTGCTGCTCACCAAGCTAGTTTGAATAAGATAGTAGCTTAAGGCAACTAAGGAAAAAACAACTGTTGTAAGAGCTTGAAGAAGGAACTCAATGTAATAATCTTCCAAAGTAGATGATGTTTTTTGAGACACAGTCTATTAATTTGCTCTAAAACTAGTGAGAGATGGTTACTTCAGAGAGGTACACAATGGAGGCTGTAAAGATTGTTCTTCAGATAAACAGAAGTTCTTCATGTGCCTTGAGATCCTTCAGAAACTTCAAAAGCTGGAAAAAATAATGTAAGAATCTGGCAGAGAGAACTTGTGGTTTATACCATGCATTTTTTACAGAGATGCATATATAGCGATCAAAATGCACATGACCTTTTTTGCTATATGGATATTTATTTGTAGAGACCATTCACAAGATAGAAGTATCTCAAAAATGCTTTTCTTTACGTGTGTCTCTACAGCATATAGTGTTAGTACCAGATAGTATCTACCAGAGGACTGTACCCTTCCAGCACTCTGATGTCCTCTGAAATGTCTTGTGTTCTTGCTAGGTCGTTTTTTCTCAAGTGTCAGTTCTAAGAAAAGAAGATCATTTCTGATCCTGCATTAATCTAGGAAATCTGGTACTCACAAAATATTGGCTTTTATAAATTTCAGATGACATTACCAAGATGGTGCTGATTGATTTCAAACACACAGAACTAGCTTCCAGCACAGTTTTCTGTGCTGTAGTCCTTGAGTATCCTATTATTGAAATTGTGTGTGCTTTTCCTTCTTGCCTATGTCTTCCGTTTTCAAATACTAATTTTCAAAGGAGGGTAAACACTATTGGCACTACAGGAAGTCACTCAGAAGTATACCCCTTGTTTTGAATTATTCCATTTCCTCATTTAAGATTTTAAATCTTGATACTTGTTTCCTCACCGGACTCCTTGAATATGCACTTCTATTGCTCTTTAAAATGCTCCCTCTGTTATTGCTGCATAAAATTTTGTGGTGGACCAGTAAAACCTGCTCTTCCAGTTGCTAGTGTAGCACAAATCAAGGGATCATTAGTCTTGTCATTTGTATGGAGGAGGAAGATTTGTCAGATGTGATTATTTCTGTATTGAACTTTGTTAAGAAATAGTGGAATTCCTTGTCATTGAAAAACCTTTTTCCTTAAAAATTATTTCTGCAGGTTTGTATGGAATAAAGAGTTGTGAGTGAAAAGGGACTGTGTTTAAATGGACAGTGTTACTTTGAAAGTGAAATTTGGCCACCTCTGAAATCAGTATAGGTATTGGAAAGGTGAGAGCCGAGGAACTGCTGCCTTCCCTTTCATTACCCGTGGCCCCACACAAAGGAGAGAGCATGGGATGGCCCCTGCGAAAATTCCAGCCACTTTGTTTTTTTTCTTTCTTTATTTTTCAGGAAAAAAAAAAACAGGATGGAGAGGAAGGGTCAAAGTCAGGTTGGGAACCATTATTTCCTTAAAATAATTCCTCCTAATTGGCACCTAATACATCCTCTTTGTGTATATTTTCAACTAATTTATCATTGTTTTAATAAACAGTTGATTATCCAATGTAGGCAGTCTTCTGCTGGGCAATTAACTATTCTAGTTATGTTTAAATTAGAAAATAATCCATTTAATTTTGCCATAAAATCAGTAACATTCATATAGGTTATCTCTGTCTTATCCTGTTAGGTGTAAGAGTTTGTCTGTATCAGTCTGGAATTCCTATTGGATGCTGCCCTCTGATGTTTGTGGAAAGAACTGCTTTTGGGAAGCTGCTTTTAGGTAGGCTCTGCCATTAAATAGCTCTTTATTATGCAATTGCAGACAGGTACAGCTCAAGTAATTTTGGCTGTTTAGCAAGCTGACAAAGTAATACTTCGATTGCTTCACACGTGCTATTTTGTGCTTATCCTCAATTGAGTTTTTAACACATTAGTCTCAAAGTGTTGTTTCAAAGAATAGATTTTTCTCTCTTTTATTATTTTCTTACATAGGGATTTCCAAACCTAGGTAAAAAGTAATTTGACTATAATGAAAAGTTACGGATGAGTTACCATTTTTGATAGATAAAACTTCTTGCAAGATAACATACAACAGGCAACAACCCGTGACATAACCTAAAATAAAAACTGGCAGATATGCTTAGTAGTTAAATCTCTTTTTTTTTTTTTTAATTGAAGATTCTTTATTTTGTAAGTATTACATCCCGAAGTGCTGAAACCACTATTTTCAAATGTACTTTAAGAATAAATGTGCTACAATAGATATATAACATGTCCTTAAAGATGCATTTTCATCAAGAAATTTAGAAGTTTTCGTGCAGTTGTCCATATGCATTAGGTTGTTGAGGTTGTGAAAGCAGTTTGGCAGAAAAGCAAGAAGGTTATAGTGTGTGTATATATATGTTCCATATACAGTATAATCTCTAATCTGTCTATAGCAAACTATACCATGATACATTTCAGAAGAATTAACAGTGGATTCAGCACAGAAATACTTCAGGGCCTGGCCTGCACCATCTTTTAAAGTGTGTGTTTTTGTTCACATGATGTCAAAGGGAATAGTTTTTAATGTGTTTCCTGACCGGGGGCGGGGGGCTATCATATTTGTCCTCAAGTGCTCAACTCTCCAAATCCCATCATGGCTCCTTGCTCAGTACTGGGCTAGAGGTGCCTTTTTGCTTTAATCCTTCCATTTTAATTACCTGAGATTTGTCCTCCAGAAAACTACGTCTTCCACTTGAATTATCAGTTTATTTTTATCTTTTGAAATTAGGAATCTCATTTTTTTTCTTACTAGCCCAACATAATGCGTGGTTTGTATTTCATTCTGTTGTTGAACTTTACAACTTCTGTGCTAAGTTCTTCTAGACCATTACCTCAGACTGCTAGGAATTAGAAATGTGCATGTAAAATTTGCATTTATATTTTGAATCTTTTCATGTTGCCTTTGGATGCTTTTTTGTAAGTATTTCCCAAAATACTGAGGAAGAAAAAACACATGTTGGAAAAAACAGCTGCAGTGGAGAGTGATGGAGAGAAGGGAGAGGAAGGCTCTGGATCAGAAGGGAGGAGTAGAGAAAGGAACAGTTGAGGGTGGATAATTCTGAAGGGAAATGAGTCCTGCATAGTTGGAAGAGGGGAATGAGGCAGGAGACATGGCACAGACACCTGGCTTTACTGCTGAGCCACAGTAATTGCAAAGGTGAGAGAGCAAAGTCTGGCTCTCAAACTCTGTGCCCCGCTGCTAGCAGCAGCAGGAGGAAGGAGGAATGAAATGGGGTTGGTGGAAGCTTCACCCAGTAGCTCGAAGCAGTGACCTCCTGGATGGAGGTGGACAGTGATTTCCAGGTGGGAATAAAGAGCACTACGTGAAGAGAGAGGAGCAGTAGTGAGGCCTGATTACAAAAAAAGAGCTGTGATAATTGGTGCACTGTGTGCAAGGAAGTCAAATGAAACTTAAAATCACTAAAGGATGTTTATTTACACAATCTGCAATGAAGCCACATGGTGCTGGAGTCTCCCTGCTGCCTTAAGCCTCTGAGGCCTCCTCTCTCTCACCGTTTTCTTAGTTAAGTGGTTCCCATAGAGAACTGTTGCCTTTGCTTTTTAATGTCTTATTCTTCCACCTGTTCCAGGGACAAAGCTTTCTATTGTGGGTTTAGGAATCTAGGTCCTGCTGTTTCCCCAGGTTCTCAAAATGGAAGTACAATTTGGTTTATTAGTTTTTTTCTAAGCTTTTTTCCTGAGTTTTTTTTTTTTACTCTTCAAAAATGTGTTTATTTAAGTGCAAAATAAAGATTGTGAATTCACAACATCTATGGACTCAACAGAAATTGCATGTGCACAAAGTGTCTGTAAAGGCATTAGAATATCAGATTCTTTTTGTATTTTGGCTAGAAATCTTTTGTTTACAGATATTACTGGATATTAAAATAATGAAATGAGGTCTTTGAATGTCAGTGTTGTGTTCTAGAGTTAAATTGCCATATTTTTTATCAAACCTTATTCATGGGAAGCCACATGTTACATGTGATTCAGGCTTGTCTTTCAGTTATGCATTTTTTTGAGGTTATGCCCTTATTTATCAGAGGAGCTTGCAATATCACTGTAGGCTCTCATGACCTCAGGGCTTAATTACTATAATTCCCTTTTCAGTGGATTAGTGAGGAGGCTAATCTGCTGCTTGCAGCTTGCTCAGAATGCAGCAGGGCAATCAGCTGTGGGTCTCAGCTACCACATTGAGGTTGCTTTGCTGCTTTGTATCAGCTACCTACTTCATGGCAGGCTAAATTAACTTTATTTATGTATAAAGGTCTGAATGGCATGCTTTGGTTATGCTTATTTTTATTTTTATTAACTATTTTTCTGATTTTGCTGCAGCATTTCTAGTAGGAGTGGAGTAAATCCTACGAAGGTAGCTGTGTGCACATGGGTGGCAGTGCCAAGTAGCTCTGGAACTGTAATTGTAATGGAAAGCATAGAGAGTGGCCCATGTGACCTGTCATAAAGTTACTAAAATATAAGTGGCTTGTGCATTGGAGAAGCTTTAGGGTACTCTAAACATATACGCAGGATTGTTAGACAAGGTCTTTGAGGAACCCTTGTCCTGTTGGACTGATATCTGGAGGTCAGGTAGGATAGTCTGGGTCTTAATAAATAACACTGTGTCCATGTAAATCAACTGGATCAAGGCCTAGATGGTTACTGGGAAATAGGACGAGTTGCTGCTTAGAGTCCATTGCCTCTTCCCTGGATTTCCACTGACCTGGATGCAATCTCACATCAGCACTTTCACTTAGGTGTCGTAATATAAATCCTACCTGACATAGTATCCTTTGTCATTTTAAAGGAAAATTTGTTTCCAGTTTGATTTGTGATGATGTTTTAACAATAAATTAGGCAGAGATTATGTACTGGAAATCAGTCCTGGTTTTGTTTTGAAGTGTATCTCTTTTTGGCAAGTTTCTAAGGATGGATAGCATGTTTGCCAAGTGCTTCTCTATTGTTGCTAGCTTAGGGAAAGACCTTTCTAACCTCAGAGAATTTTATATCTGTGTAACTTGGAAAGCTGTAGTTTAATGTTTTCAGATATTAATGGCCTTTTCCCCTTAATCATATGCATATAATTCAAGTATAGAATATTCAGCTGCTTTGAAAGTTGGAGCTGATCTGTTTAATACCTTTTTTAATGAAATTAATGTCTGTATTTGACATATCTAGTTTCTGTACAGGTCTTCCCCCCATTTTTTGTGCCTCATGGGCTAGGGTGGCGTGTGGTGTGGAGTAAGCTTAAATTTAAACCTGCAAATGAAGTGTAACGCTGCAGTTTTGTGTTCTGTGATCCTTTGCTGATTTAATTAAGATAAAGGATATTTTGTTAGATTGCCTGCTTCAGTAAATAGAGCTTTTGTTTCAAGTTGTGCGAGGAAAAACGCCAATTGAAAAAAATGTTTTTGTGTTAGATATGATTATATGAAAACCCATCCTCCTGAGAAAATGCATCTAGCCGTGGTTGCCTGTGGTGAAAGACTCGAAGAGACTGTTACTATGCTGAGATCAGCCATGATTTTCAGCATCAAACCACTCCAGTTTCATATTTTTGCTGAGGACCAATTGCACAAGAGATTCCAGGACGTGGTAAGTAACCCAAATCATGGAGCTTATTGATTTGTAGTAAAGCTGGAGTAATATGTAACAATGTTTCTGGCAACTTGGGTGATAGTTGTTGGATATAGTAAAAATGTGGAGGTCTGAAGAAAAGTTAATACACAGATCTTCAATAACACTGTGTTGGCATGGGTGTATTAACATTATTTTCCTAGCCTTCCTTATTTGTCACCTTGCATTTTTAACAGAAAGTTGTATTCAGAACAGAAACCAATTATCTCATTGACAAAATAATTGAGAATTATCTTCTATTCTTGAGAATTATTTTCTATTTAAAAGCATTTTTTGAGAGAAAATAAAGTCTGTCTTTATATCCGTGTGCTTACAGTATGAGTCAGCCTTGTATTGTCTAAGCAATGGAAAACATCCATCCCTGAAGATGTGATTATTTCTTATTTTAGTAACTTTCAGCTAATGACTACCACATTATGACAAGAGTGACATTATTAGGAATATACTTATCTATGAAGGATTTTCCTATCTTTGCACCTGAATGTGCATACTTTGAGTAATTATGGCCAAGTTGGATAAGGTTATTTTAGTTTGAGATATACTTCATTGAAAGCAAGCTAAGAGAAAAAAAGGAAATATTTTATTTGATATTTTACGTGTTATTTAATTTTATTTGTTTTCATCATACTGGCCTGCAGATACCACTTTATTTTTAAGCATTTTGATTATTTGACCTATTTATTTATTTACTTTGTCACTTAGAAAGCAGTTCTGTTTTGGGAGAGAGGAGTTGCAGCGTGTTCATTATCAATGGGAATTGGAAATGCTTTATTTTTTATTGTAGATTTAGATTGTAGTAACTTTTTTATGATCTCTTCTTTTTCATCTAGCTTGATGACTTCCCCTATGAAGGAAAAGTAAACTACACATTATATCCAATAACATTTCCAACTGAGAGTGCAGCAGAATGGAAAAAGCTCTTTAAGCCATGTGCTTCACAAAGACTATTCTTGCCAGTAAGTTAAATCTCTTAATAGAATAGTATGTAAATTTTTTTAGGAGTTATCAGGCTGTCTTTGTTTACTTCTTTATCAGGCACTCTTTATCTTACTACTTTATTTTTAGTGAAAAATCAGTACTCCTAAAAGTGTCTTCTTTTAGGAGCCTCCAGAAACACTGTAAAGTTAACCTTATTCTTCAGTGACAGTAATATACTAAGGAATAAAATTCTTTTTCATGCATGTTCCATTGCTCAGTATCCTCAGTGAGTGTCTAACCTTCAGTGGGTCTTACCTCTCAGAGGCAAAAGTTTGTCACACCCCATCTCCTCATATATTTGGAAAGTTTCATGCTTGCACAAGTCAGGAAAATGGAAGAAAAAGTAGTAGGTTCTTGTAGCCAGAGTGTTTCATGTAGCCTTTTCTTTACTGATAGAGCAAAGACTTGAGAAATTGTGCTTCAGCCTGGGAGAACAGCAGCAGTGGCAGCCGTCTGGGGACAGTACCCCGTCCTGTGTGGCTGCCTTCCATGTCTCCCCCTGGTCAACCAGGGGCCAGGGAAGTGCAGGAGCAAAAGGAACCAGCGAGGGACCGTTTGTCATAATGTGTCACCTGACCCACAGGCTGCTCCTGTGTTATGAAAAGCAACTCATTAAAACTGCTTATAAAGTTTGCTTTTAAACTTCTTTCCCTCACAGTTAATCCTGAAAGATGTCGATTCGCTATTGTATGTTGATACTGACATCCTATTTCTGAGACCTGTGGATGATATTTGGTCTTTTCTGAAGAAGTTCAACTCCAGTCAGATAGCTGCAATGGCACCAGAACACGAAGAACCTCGCATCGGGTGGTATAACCGCTTTGCTAGACATCCCTTTTATGGAGTCACTGGAATAAATTCTGGAGTCATGTTGATGAATATGACACGTATTAGGAGAAAATATTTCAAGGTAAGTATGTTATTTCCATTGCATTTTCAGTGTTTTTATGTCTTTTAATTCTGTCATGTTTGAAATGCACGTCGAACAATCATTTTCAAAATATTTCTTCTCTTTGGAATAAAGTTGTAAAAATAGTTCTGGTTAGACTGGTAACTGGATTGTGTGTGTATACATATATATGCACATATCTATATATTCTGTTCACTGTAAACATGAAACACCTGCTGCTTAAGACTGCTTGTTTCTTTTTTGAATTCTGGAAGATAATGCAACTTGATACAATGTGTTGCTTTAATTATGTTTGCCAGCAGGTATTTCACTGTTTTCACTTCACATTAGAGATCTCAGAAAATAATTAATAAATACTGTACAATAAAATTCAAAAATCTCTGTATATAGTTACGTGACCAGGAGGTGGTGCTAAAGCATTTAGTAAGTTACTGTAACTCTACTGTTTCTGAATTTTGATCTTTTAAAATGTAACCAGGTGCTTATCAACATATGTATCTTATGATTTATTTCCTCATAGCTTCCAAAGAGAAATAACTTTATGAAATTACTTCTTCAGTAAAGTATGCAGCAACAGAAATAGTCATTGCTTCACAAGTCTTTCCTATGTGCTTAAAAAATAAGTACAAAAACAATATTGCATGATTATGATAGGTGAAAAAAAGAAGTACTTCTGTCTGTATTTTACATGTTAAAACAAGCACTGAAAGAGGTTGGAATTCAGAAGGATGGCTAGGTTGTTGTAGTCAAAAGCTATTTGAAGAGTCTAATAAGTCTATATATGAAAATTTAGGTCAGTGAATATTAGGTAGACTCATAAATAGAAGTTCAAAACACATTTGGCTGCCCGGGGAGGTTGTGGAGTCTCCTCTGGAGGTCTTCAAAACCCGCCTGGATGCCACCCTGTGTCCTGTGCTCTGGATGTCCCTGCTTGAGCAGGAAGGTTGGACTAGGTGATCTCTAGAGGCCTTTCCAACCTTAAACATTCTGTGGTTCTGTGAATATTGCATCTCTTCCTTGGTAGCTGAGGGCTGGAATGTTTTCCAGATCCTGAGGATATCAGCTCCATATTCTTGTTCTTCCCAGGCTTTGTTTTTATTATGCAATGAAATCTGTGAGGTTGATGAACCAAAACAAGCCTTATGGCAGATGAACTTCTTTATAATTGCTCTTTATTATGGAGATGAACGTCTATGATTTATAAGATCTCAATTGTTTAGCCAGGCTGGTTTGCAGTTAAAACAAGGCAGAAATTTATGCCCTTTTCTGGAGATCCTGCTGGCAACTTGAGCCTGCTTATGATGCCCATTTTTCGGGGTTATGTGGGCCACTGAACCACTTCTGTGTCAAGGAAGATGTGCTGTAACTGTCACAGAGGACTGAAACAAAGACATCTTGAATTGCCTGGGAAGCTTCTTGCTGCTCCTTCTCAAATTGTCCAATATAGACTGTAGTAAGCAGGTCTACCTGAATGATTGCAGGCTCTGTGTTCATTCAGTTAAGAAGTAGGAGCAGAGACTGGAGGTAACTGCCCAATTCTGTGCCGATATGCTGAATATTCAGTATTATGAAAGGGCACTTAAACAAGAGAGGCAGAAGCAGAGCAAAGCTTCCCAACAGCATATCAGATGATTCCAAGATTTTTCTGACGTCTTTAGTTAATAAAAATTGAAAACGCAATTAAATAATCCTTTTGCCTGCCCCAGTCTGCTTGTTTGGGATGTTACATACACAGCACTTTCTGCCTTTTGCCTTTAGCTGTCATCATCATAGGGATATACTGTCTTTTCAAGCTTAGATATCTCTTTTCTTGTTCTCACCCATCTTCTGTCTCCTGGACATCATAGGTGTCTGGGATTTGCCTGTATCGACTGTAATTATTCCTAAAGTATTTCAGACTAACAATGTATATGCCAAAATATAGTCTCCTCCTTGCTTAATGCATAAAAAAGACACCATGTTTTGTATAGCAGTTCTTTTCAGTTTCATCTTGATTCCTTAGCTGGTTTTTTTTGTTTGTTTGTTTGTTTTTTTGCATTAATTTAATCCTTTTCCTTCACTTTCTGTACCTTTTTTCCCCTGCTTTCATGATCATGTATATCTCACTTGGACTCTTATACTGATTATCTGAAGCACGAAACAGGTCAGTTGTTTGGGTGCCTTGTTGGATACATTTCTTAATTCAGAACCTGATCCTATCATCTTTCAAGCCCTTATAAAGCAAATGATATGTATAAGACTGAGCACTAATTTTCAGGTATTTCAGTATTACTCGCAAATGCAAAACTTGCTGTTTGTTCAAGCTTTGAATTCATTCTCTAGCATGACTGACTTACTAATTCCTTTTTAGAACTTGACTAAGTTTTAACAATTTTTATGAATGTTATAAATTGCATGGGAGACTTCAGGTTCCCTTAATGAGCTCAGAAACGTTTACTACTTTCATGGGGAGAAAAATGAAATTCCAGTGAATTCAGCTTTCTAATGTTCTGATATGACCCTGGAGAAGAAAGGAATATTAGAAAGGAATATTTTTAGGATTAAGTGAGAAGACCAGGGGCTCTGTGGCTTCCCTAGTGCCTGACACAGAAGCAAGTAAGGCAGGAGAGATGCAGCAGAGCCTGAGGAGTGGTCTGCAGTACTGCCAGCTTGAAGAACCCAATATCAAGCCCTTGTGTTGTTCAACATCTGCAGTAGATTTCCACTGGAACAAATGTTCTTGCTCTCTAATATCACGTAACGACGATTAAGTGTTCTAGTTAACAATAGTTTTAACCAGTTTTAAAGGCTGATAGACAGGGGTTTGGTTGAAGGATAGTGGAGGGTAATGGTGTCGCTGTGGCACTGCAGAGCTGTGTTCAGTTCTGCAACCCAGGGGAGCGATTCTGTGCAATACATTCTTGGGAGACGCTTAAGCCCCAGCTGTGCACTCAGGCACTAAACTGCCCAGGCATCATACTTTAACAGTATGAGGTTTTGGTAGTCCTGGATACTTCCATAAGATGATAGATCTCTGAATTGATGCTTAACTAGCTGGGAACTAGAGCGTTTGTCTAAAAAATGAATGTTCTGAATCGGGGCTTTTTTCTTCAGTCTGGTGGACTTGAATCTTCCTCCATTAGAGCATCTCCAGGCTGACATGCATGAGCTTGTTTAGCATCTATCTTCTGTTACCATAATGGATATGTAAGAGTCAGGAGGAACCAGAAGATGAATAAATAAAACGGACAGCTTGACCGTGGCTGTAATGCCCTTCTTGGTAATGTGAAACGTGTAGTTCTGTGTACCCCTACAGGATTTAGTCTGTTTTTATCTAGTTTTTATTCAAAACTCAATGTTCTCAGGCCTGCCAAGCCTTTTAGGCAAACTTCTGAGCCACTTGGCTGTGGTGCCAAGTAGAAGCTGTTCCTATTTGTGCTATTCTCTTGCTCTTACTGTCTTGGTCCTACTGTTTTTGTCCATTGTCTATGTTTTTTATGAGAGCTTGAGGGAATGTATACACATATAACTATAATGGATAACTGTGTGTATATATATATATTAAAAAAATGATAACTATAATGTAACTATAATAACTATAATTTCTGTGACTGTTCAGGATTGCTTAAGTCTGTACTTCCAAGGAATGTGGTGAGCCTGCAAGAGCAAATCCTTCTAAAAGGGAGTCCTGTCCTTTACCTGCAGCTTTCCCCATCTTATGCTCTTTAAGTTGTTCTCACCTCTGGTGTTTTGGGATCCTTTCATGATCCAGTTAGGTTGGACAGCAGAAGAGCAGAAGAAGCTTTCTGCTTGTTACTGAGGTAATCAGCTCACAAAGAAATCTGTTAAGGCAAGAACAAGATTGCATCAGGTAAGCAAGGGAAGGCAACTTTCTCTCATTTGGTCTTAAGGAGGTTTAAAAGTGGCTTTGTTGTTTGTGCAGCTGCAGTTTCTTTGGATATTGTAAGGTTTATTTGGATATTTTTCCTCAACACTGTATTTTCTTGCAAGAATTAAGAGGGATGCAGAACTAGGTGTTTCACTGAACAGCTGCTGTAGGCCTGACCTCAGGCTTGGCAAGGTAGAAGCCCTCTGGGACAGAAATAAGCACTGACTAATTAAAGCAAAACATTATAATAAATCAAAAGTATTCAAGCAAATATCCTAATTTCTTTATGTATATTATGTTCTTAATTAAGGTTCATTCCATTTGAAAAACATGGACCTTTGAGGGTTTGTACAGCCTGCCTGTACCTGCTTGATGGCACAAAAAATGCTCAGCCCTGTTTCTTTCACAAACATCTTTAACTTTCTCTCTCATCTGTTAGGTATTGGAGATCAGTTTTATCTTCTGGAAGCATTGAAGCTTTTGTGTAGCTGTCAGTCTGCTTCATTTTTACTTGAGTAACATTTGAAGATCTTTCATGTCATCAGTATTGACTGAATTCTGGCATTGTGCACATTCTGTTTAACTCGCTCTGAGTTAGATTAGAGCCTTGCACAGGAAGTTATATAACACTATGAATGATTTCCCTTGCTTGGAGTGATTCCTGCACTAGTTTTATTATACATCATTGTTAATAAATAAATATATTACTCTTATACAGAGGTTATTGAAATATTAGAATTTCTAATTCTTAAATCTAATAGCACTATTTGTCAAGCAGTATTGCTCCTAGACAACTGGCAGTGCGATTGCATGCTGCTCTCCACTTTATATCTCTCTGGAATATACTCTGCATTTTACTGCTATTAAAACTGCATGGGTTAAATGAAAGTTATATGAATTGATGGCTCGAACAATTTAAAATAATATCTTTATGGGTTGCTCTGAAGATTTTTTTTTTTTTTTTACTACGTTATGCTCTCTTATGATTATCCCGGTAGCAGTGCGCTAGTTTAATTTGTTTTTTAAATTGAAGCCCTGAGTTTAAACCTCAAGTCAGTGTTCTGCAGGGCCAAGTTCTGGTGAGCTTGGAACCTATATTCATTGTGCTGCAGGCTGATTTGCTTGTGGGAAGGTTTTAGCTTCCCACTAAGTCCCTGTTTGCTTTTGCTTCATCACCTTGCACTGAGCCTAATGATGGCTCTTCCTAGAGAGCAATTCTCACGCGCGCGTTTCTCAGGCCTACTCTCATCAAATACTTGCAAGCAATCACAATCATAAATTTTTCAGGGAAGAAGGGACAGTAATATCATTCAGTTTGGCTTCTTGGATAATGTAAGCTATAGATCAGCTTTTGTATTAGTTCCTGCCTGAAGTCTGATAGTATTTCTTTTTAAGTCTTTGTTTCTGAAAGCCCTTCATACTTGATGGCTGAAATGATTTGAAGAAAGTCTTAAAAAAAAAACCTTGGCAAGTCTTTGATACTGAGATTCTAAAACTGAATATGGTACCTCAGGTAATGCATTTTTGTTTCTTTACATGGTATTTCTGTAGACACATCCCAGAATGTACTGGAGTTCTCATTTTTTGTTTGTTTGTTTTTGTTCGTTCGTTTGTTTAGTGGGGGCCAGTCTTTTGCCAACTTGTTTTAAAAGAATCAAGAGTGACTTCTTCTCTTTCAGGAATTTTTTTCATGAGGGCCCATTATTCCATCCTCTTTCTCCCAACTGAGAGAGGTTTTTGAGGGAGCAGCCGCATTCCTTTTCTGTGTTAGCTGGCCACAATTGTGGCGGGAAGACTGGCAGTGGGCATTAGAGCATGCGGCCTGGTGCAGTGCGGTTGGTAGCACATTTGTGGTAAGGACGAGCTCAGTGCAGACCCACTTGCTGTGAGAAACACCCCTCAGCCATCCCTGAGAAGCCAACTTCCTTTTCCCATGAAGTCTGAAGGACACGGCTGTGACTTGATGTAAAACAGGAATTTGGGGAATAAGAAACCGTTGTGTTAGAGTCTTCACTACCCTTTGCTAGTGAAGCATTGTGCCTTTGTTGCAGAAGCTAAGGTTGACTGACTTAAAAATTGGTTTGACTTGATGAAAATGTTTTGAAAACCTTTTCTTATCTATTCCTTAATTATTATATTAATTATAATCTTTTACAGCTCTGAATGTAGGTGGATATTTAATAGCTAATTTTTTATTAAAACCAGCTAACTGAATTGATTTTTTTTTTCCACAGCCAAAGTAACACCAACTTGCTATTTTTTTTAGGACTATTGTATTTTGATGTTTTTGAGATGAATCTTGAAGACGAAAGTATTTGGCAGTTAGGAGACATTTGTGATTTTGCTTAACCTAAGATAATACTTAAATAAGTGAAGCAGAAATATTTGTTAGGTGTGATCATCTCCTTAAATTCTTACAGAATCTAGAGATTTGTAGTTTAGAGAAGCAAATTGCTGCAATTCTGTAGATCTTCACCTCTGTAATTATCATGAATGTGTGTATGTGTTTCTTTTTTATTTAATAGAATGATATGACAACAGTCCGGTTACAGTGGGGAGAAATTCTTATGCCACTGCTGAAGAAGTACAAGTTAAACATAACTTGGGGTGATCAGGATCTGTTGAACATTATGTTTTTTCACAATCCAGGTAAATTCACATTCATTCTAAGTCTAGCCTGACAAAAACAATCTTTTGTATGATGTTCTAAAATGCAGAAAAATATTATTTTCAACAGATTTTTTTGGTAAAAGTGCTTGAGACTTTTTCTCTCTCTCCTTTTTTCAAAAAAATGGTTTGCTTTGAGTTTTGGTGGACAGATCCCAGTAAAGTTTACTAAGTGTAATTAGTTGTCAGGTTTCGAAACAACTGCACGTAAGTCTATGAAGTAGTCTTTTTTGTTTGTTTTAAGATAGAGCAAAATTAATTCATTTCCTGAAAAAAAATCATATTTAATTCAGATTTCTTATAATTTTCTGAACAGAAAGTCTATATGTCTTTCCTTGCCAATGGAACTATCGACCTGACCACTGCATTTATGGGAGCAATTGTAAGGAAGCTGAAGAAGAAGGTATATTTATTCTTCATGGAAACAGAGGTGTTTACCATGATGATAAACAACCAACTTTTAGGGCTGTGTATGAAGCAATAAAAAATGTAAGTGTTTTCTCTATGCAAAGTTACTTGGTTTTTATCTACACTGGTGAATGTATTTTATAGGTTTTGTTCATACTCATTTTGATTGCAATAGATGTAATGTTTTTTCCTCTAAGTAATTCTAAGCATTTTAGTGATTTCAGTCATTTTCTATTTGGGTAGAATTCCAGTTTATTCCTTTTGTGATTAAAATCTTTTGAAATACTATATAGCCCGTATCTAGATGAGGTATCTAAAATGTTGCCTGAAATACTATATAGCCCGTATCTAGATGAGGAATCTAAGATGCTGCCTATAACTGTCATATCTATTTAAAAAATCTTTACCCCACCCCTTTCATAAGTGTATCTAATAGAAATATAGTGTATTAGCATGTGGAAATCAGCATCCAAAACTTCATTTTGCTGGAGATTTTAAAATGCAGAAAGAAACCACCTTCATCTCACAGATTCCCTGCAACTTTTTCACATTTTATTGTAGCTCAATTTGGATGTTAATAACAATTTTTGATACTGTGTTTTGATCTCTGTTGGAGATCCAGTGTATTAATGTGTGGCTGCTCCTTTAAGTACTAAGCACAATGAATTCTTTTCATCCTGCAAATGAGTCTTCTAATAAACTATTTATCACTGCATCAGTCTACTCGCTGAAGAGCTGTAAAGTTTAGCACTGATGTGTATTTTAATGTAGCAGGCTATTGTGTATGTATAACCTTCAAAATCAATAGTATATTTTAATGGTACTTTATTACTTGATGTCATATAGATATCAAAATGAAGAAATGTACTTTTGGGGGTCTGAGAATACATTGCACAGAAAGTGAATGTGTTTCCATAAAAATACAGTTTCTTTGTTTCCTTTGAGCATTGCCAAAAACCGAAGAAAATTATTTCTTTTTATTTATGATCCCATTTGGTTTATGAATATGCCAGGGAGAGTGTATAAAACATTGTTGATCCAGTGGTAATAAGATGAACAAAATTACACTACTTTGAAATGCTGTTTTAGACTATAATTTGTTTATAAAAAATACTGCCAAATTGAATTAATGACTTCCTTATTTTGTGTCCTTGTTAAATGTGGTGTGTATTTGACCATTCAGTCTAATGAAACTTCCTGCTTTCAGTAGTGCTACTAACTGGTCACATTGTTGTTTCATTACAATTTGATAACTTTTAAAGTGTACAATTCTTATGTTCCATTCAGGAAAGCAACACCACCAAAAAAAAAAAAAAAAAAAATCAACCTAATTGTAGATTTTTAATAATTCAATTTTTAATTTCCTCCTCACCTGTCTGGATGTGTTCATTTGCTAAAAACTAAAAAGTTCATCTGTTAGGCCTATTGAAAGTATTGAGAATATTTCTGTAATGTAGAGGTGGCTTTTAAACACTGTATTCGTAAGCTGTCTGTGAGAAAACATCTAATGTTTAATTTTTTTTAATCTTCTTTGCAGTATTCGTTTAGAGGTGACTTGGTTCATTCCCTGCTGCAGCCCCTAGAACTGGAATTACAGAAGACAACACATACATACTGTGGCAGAGTGTACAAAGTGTTCATAAAGCAGCTAACGAAAAGCATAAAAGATTTGTATGATAGAAGATCAAAGGGAAGGTGATTCTTACTCCAAGCTGTTAACAGAAGAGACTGAATATACCCACTGTTCGACAGGTGCAGAAGGTCTAATGTGGCTTGAATTAGCTCTTACTGTGCCCACAAAGAAGTTTACCAGTATGTATAGAAATGAAGAAAATATTTGTGCTATGAAGAATAAGAACTTTTTTCCTGCAAAAGTGACTTCTTTACTCTCTTGAAGTTTAATCATTGCTAATGTTTATGTTGGATCTGATGAGTTTAGATATTGCTGGCTCTTGTGGTCAGTAGTTTTAACCTTGCTTATGCTTAATGGTCAAATGAGCAAGGGACGGATGAGGAGGGCTGTGTTTGGAGAGTACCTCAGATTGTCCAGAATTCTGTTAAACTGTGAAAGTAGCAATAATCGAGTCAGCAGCACTAACCTCACTTTAAAAGCGTGAGCACGAAGTTGTTTACAAGTGCAGGAAGTACTTCTCAAAAAATGTGATAGAACCATTGACAATCTAGATGTGCCTTTGGATGTTCATCTCTTACACATGGAAATACTGTTTTGACAATCTTATTTTACTTAACGTAAACTGCACACTATACATAGAGAAATGAATAAGTAGTGTGTGATGCTGGTTTTTCTTGTCTGTAGATACTATGTCTTTGTTTTAATATACAGCGTTTGTTGCAGGATCATTGAGCCATCTGCCCAAATGATATGATGGTTAAGGGGATTTGGCTTTTAACAAAAATGCAAGACAAAGTTTTTTCTTATGATATTCTTAAAAAAAAAAAAATATGGTTTAATAGCTTTAAAGGGCATTTTTGGAAGTAGAGAGAACCCATTGGAAACCTGTCTCTGTTTTGTTATTAAGAATTATTCCGTGATGCTTATTATGGAATATTTTGTACACTAAAGTGAAGAATTGGAATAAGAGATCTGAGAGTTAATCAGACTGTATAATGGATTGGTTTCTTAACAGGTTTATCCTGTGTGTTTTAATACCATGGCTTTAAATTTGTCATGGTGCATGCACATCTTCAAGTGCATGATTTCGTTAATGCCGGTAGGGTGATAGTGATTTACAACAGACAAGATTTAGGCTCCTTTTTAGGTTATATAATATAAATTCCACAGAGAAACACATGAAGAAAAAGACCAAGCTCCAGTGTAAGAGTAAAATATTATTTAAAATTGCATGGTGTACTTGTATACTTGAACTTATTTCAGTTTGCTTGTATACTAGTATGTTTGACCTGAAGAACTGGGCTTGGGTAACCTAACAGATGAAGTCCTCATAAAGTGTTCTTCTGGATTTCAGATCTCTGCATAGTGAGCAGTGAATACGCTCTCACTGACTTGCACCTTCAACCCAACCCCATCTGAGAAAATGAATTTCTGTGGCCATTTCTTTGTCCAAAGCTGCCTGTCCGCAATGAATTGTAGATCCATGTGAGCTAGGTGTGTGCTTTAGTAGTATAAAAACACACTATGTTGTGAAGGCAGCTTAATTTTGTTCCCAGACCCTGCTGGCTCAGGATGTAATTGTCTGGGATAGAAAATGGAAGACAGTCTATCTTGCATTTAGTTGTTGTTTCTATTCCTTGTTATGTCATGTTTCTGTGTGTAAGATCTAGAAATCCATGTGAAGGTAAATACTGTTATTGACTGATTTGTAACTTGCAATGCATTATTTCATTATTTTTTTACATAAATACCGATTTTGTATTGGCTTGTCTTGAGCTTGTTTGTTTTATTTATACTGTGTTTGCATTTAGAAATTCTTTCTTTTAGCTTTTTTTCCTCTGTATTTGTTTTGCAGAAAACAAGCAGTTTTAATTTGATTTTCAATGTTTTACACATGTGCTTAGAACTTAACAAACCAAAAAAGAAGCTAAAAGCTTTTTAGCTAAAAGCTTTAAAAAAAAAGAAGAAGAAAAATATGAAAGTGAATGTTATCAGGAGCCTTTCAAGTTTTAAAAACATTATTTTTCTGCAGACATAGTAAGTAACCAACTTACTGGCACATTATGGAACTGTAGAAATATTTTTTCTTTATTTCTATTAACATTGAAATAATTATTATAAATGAGGATTCCTAGAAAAATACAAGCTTTGGAAAATACATATTTAGGTTGAATTAAGATGAATCTCTCTTCATCATGCTTGATCTATCTCTATATCCTGATGCCATTATCCTATCTCTATTTGAAGGAATCAGTTTGTTTCCAGAAGAGACTTATTTGAAGATGTATTAGCTCATTTGCATGAAATTCCATCCTTTGTAGGTAGTGTGAAGGACCAGTTATGCCTTACTGAACTTGGAACATCTTGACATGTGCAACTTGTAGTAGCTATGGTTATATATAAGGCTGTATAAGTTATGAAAGTGTTTTTATGATTATTTGTAGTTTTGACTAAATTTCTTTGGACTGAACACATCCTTGATGTTGCTGCTGCTGCTGCAAAAATCCTCCCTATATTAGCTGTGCTCCAACCACACAGACTTTATACCCTTCAGTCTGTGCATTTTCTCTATCAAGATGATTGAAAATAATCAAGTCTCCCTTATCTTCTTCCTTCCAAGTTGCACATCCTGTCTAGACACTATGGAAAAGGAAAGAACCTGACTGGAGTGTATTGGTAGGAAGGGACTGCTTGGGTTGTTTAGAAACAGAATATATACAAGGTGAAAATGAAGACGTATTGAAATATTCATATGTTCATTACTGAGATCTCTTATTTTGAGGGTACAGAGGAATGATCCAGAGCTGTCTTTGCTATAATTTATTGTGTGGTGGATTAAAATGTGTTGAAAAGAAGGGGTGGAATAACTCACTTTTTTACATTATTTATAGGAAAATTACACTTCTGGTTTCTTTCTCCTGGTTTATAAAGCAGATATTTAGCTCTCGGTGTATGGTCCTGCTCCTGCTATCTTCAGAATCGTACATGATGCTGTGATGGGTTTTGGTAGGTCGGTTTGGTTTAGTTTGTCTTTCTACACCTCATTCAAAGCCAGAGGAGCTTTAACTTGATGCATTCTCCAGGAATGTGGATAGCTTCATTTAGGAACGTGATTTCCTCAGTCATGGCCTTGTTCACACACTGTTATCAGCAGATAGTTTTCTCACATTGAGAAGACTTCAAGAGCAGAGGACTCATTAAGATTTATGTAGTTACTGTTTATTGCTGTTACAAGATTTCCATGCCTTAAGCTACATACATATGTATGTATATTTCCAGAAGGGAGAAAAAGAAAATAAAGTCCAGTATAAACCTGGGAGATGATCAGACTTGAATCTTCAGGCCTAAAGGACGGAGCAGACGCTGCCTTTGAGGGGACCTGTTGCACTAACAATCCCACTCGGATACCCTTTCTTCCCTCTCTGCTACGTGAATATTGTTTTGTTCCCCACTCAGGCCTGGAGAAAGGGACTAATTTTCTGTGTCAGATGCTAACCAAAGGTTGGTTAATCAATTTCTTTGTGTCTTTGGAGGAAAGCAAAAAATCAGGAATTTGTTTTTAATAAGCCTCCTCTCGAAAAAAGCAGAATTTTGCTAGAATGATGACCCTGCAGCTTATTTCCCTCGGTGCCTCAGACTCTCATAGAGTCATAGAACACAAATAAGGAACGTGTTTCCTCACAGCTTGAGGGAGAAGTGCTGCTAGGCTGCTCTATCTTCTTTCTTCCCTTATTTCTAGCATCAAACATTCATTTCTAAAAATGCTTTTTCATATCCTTAAATTATAATTTAGAAATTAACAGATGAGTAATTTTTATTAATAAAATTATTAAACCACATGAGGTGAACAATGTATTACAGTAGGCTAATGCATTCCCACTGCATTCGTATTGCAGGGGGTCACTGACTCATTCTTCTTTCAGGTCATTGAACACCAGGTCTCCAGTTCATGGGTACAACAGATTCCTCTTTTGTATCCCTAGCTTCTGAATCTTAATGTTCTGCCAGTCATTTATGGATGCATTCTGTTAGAGCAATTCACGTTAAATCAATTAGTAATATTTATAGGAATCATTTTAAAATACAAAATTGGATATAGATGTTGTTTGAAATTGCATGTCTTTGTGTTTGAATTCACATGTACTAAGGGCATGTTTTTTTCAGCTTCCAACAGTATGAAAGCAATAACATTTTTTCTCTTAATTTAAGACTAGGAAATTAATTTTTAATTAAAACTGATGTTTTAACTTGTGATACTAACATTATGGTGCTAACTCATCTCTGCATAGCTCTGCAGTGAATAGCTGGTGCCTAGAGACTCTGCTTGCCTCTTAGATACTGTGAAATTTCCAAAGTGTGATTTAGTTTAGTGTGGTTCCTGACAGATCTATGATATTTATACTTTTTCATTTTAAAATGTTCCCTTATGTTTTATTTTATTGTGTTGTTTTACATTTTTTCCATCATCTTCATGATCAGATGGAATTTTAGAGTTGAGATTGCAGATCTAAAACCCAAGAAATGGAAACCACTTTTGCTATCCAAAATGTGTGCGTGTGTTGTACGTATTGTATGTTTACAACGCAGCGGCTTTGCAGTGAGGTGCTTGGTCTTTATTCTCTTCTTACAGGTGCTGGACAACTTCCGAGGAAAAAGTGATCTTCTGTTGACTCTTCCTTCACTTTCTGTGCATGTGCAACCAAAGAAAAAAGATTGACTTACGACTTCAAAACCCCCCTGACAAAGTTTTGTAGGGATTATGGAATACAGTAGAGAATGAAGTAGGTAAAATTGTTCAGGATGAAAATTTGACGGCTGCAGGCAGGCAATCAAAACATATAGAAATGTTCTTTTGAGAAGTACCTTTTTCATCATTCCATAAAAGCAATAAATAAAACACGTAATGGTAGGATATTGCTTAAAAATAGATGTTAAATTTAATTAGATGTTAAATATTATAAAAATACAATTACTATGGCATGTACTTTAGGTAAAGAAAATTTTTCTCAACTAGACATGTTAACCACTTAGAAAGATACCTTGTGTCTGTCCTGAAATGATTTTTTAAAGGATGGGTTGATGATTGTCCATTGGATCTACCACTAAATTTCTTTTTATCTAAAAATCTAAGTCTTTGAGGATCCAAACATTTTTTTTAAGGATCAGCAAATCAAGTACCCGTTATTCTAAACAATATAGAGAAGCAGAGTTCTGAAATGATTCTTATGTGCTATTTGCTAGTGTAATTCACTAGAGCTTAAGAAACATCACCATTTCTTAAGAAACCATTTGTTAGTACTGAGCCTGACTAAAATTACCAGGTCATTGCTTTAAAATATGGCATAAACACACGGGGAATTTGCTAATATGCAGCTTGTAGCAGGAAAGATAAATACAGTCCTTCTGACCTCTGCACAAAACCTTAAAAAATCCTCTCCTAATTACAGGCTTACTCCCATGAGGAAAAGTTCCAGAAGCTTCTTGAGCTCCACCAGGGATTTTGCTATTGCTATTGATTTAATATGAAAGTGCTTAGATACTATAGCAATGGATGACAGCATAAAACACTGATAAATCGATTAAAAGAGTTTAGCCTTGGGGTATATATTAGTTCATCTAGTCTGATCTCTCATAAATCACAAGCTATTAAATTTACCTCTATACTGAACCCAATAATGTGTTTGATTAAAGCATAACTTGTGTTCAGCTAAATCATATTTTCCAGAAAAAATGTCAAGTCCTGGTCTGAAGGCACGGAGAGGGAAAATGCTGTGCCAGTTTGTTCAGTGACTGATCACTCTCCCCATTGCAGAGATGTGCCTCGCTTCTCGTTTGAATATGCCTGCCATTAGCTTCCAGCCATTGATTCTTCTTATGCCCCTCTCCACTAGGTTAAAGAGCTCTTTTATACCCTGCAGTTTCTTCTCATGAAGGTACTTACACATTGAAATGAAATCACTTCTCCCTGTCCTTTTGTCAGACACACTGAGCTCATGAACTCTCTCACTAAAACAATTCTGAATTTTTGAGATTCTTTTTTTGAGCCTTCATCAATTTCCTACAGTCTTTAAAATGTGAGGATGGGAATTGGATTGCAGTAGGGCAAAGAACTTGGTGGGTTTTTTATTTTTTTTATTTTATAAAGCAGTAAAAACATCTTTCTAGTCCTACGAAAGACCTCCTCCGAATTTATATGTTGAGTGCTTGTGTTCATTTCCTTTTCATTCTGGGGATAAAACCTGCATTTCTAGATATGGTGGCATTTTGCTTTTTAAAAATGAACTCAGTCTGGTCAATTGACCACAGTAATCTGCATTTGTCTGTGGAACTGATTTTAACACTTATTATCAGGTATGGTCACCTGCTGATTTGATTAGCTGTGATTTTCTGTTTACTTCCAAATCACTAATAAACATTTAGGTGTTATACACAATGTTATTTCCTTTATTTTGTCATTAGAAATAACTTTAGATGCACTTTCCAAATCTATTTATTGAGGACTGCCAGTTAATCTTGCAAATCTTTTACGTTACTTTTTCCTTCTTTTTTTCTTTCTTTCTTTTTTTCCATCTGCATAGCAGAATTTCAGTTTCAAAGAAAAAGAGAGATATCAGGGAC